ATATATATCACACACACCTCATCAAAGATATGACATAAACTTTGCCTTCAACAAAATATGACACAAATAGAAGAAAAAATACCCAATATATTACAAGCAATTTTCTCACCATGATAAATCCCAAAATTATTACATATACTTCAAGATGAATATAATACAAACTTAATTCATTACTCATAAATCACACTTATCTCAAAATGAATTAATAGCACATTAAAATCAATATTTAATCACATATTTTCAAAAGCAATTTTCTTAATTGCATTAAAAGCTAAGAGTCACACTTCTTCATATTTAAGAAATTGACAAGAAAATTATGGGAATGAAGATTTTAGAGAAGACTAAAATATAGACAATCATCCAAGGGAGTATAGAAGATTCAACCATATTTTAAAACATGTTAGAAAGTAAAGTTCCAAGGATAACTTAAGATAACCTAGAAATGTCTAGGATCATGCATGTATATAAGAGAATAGTGTAAAACTATCTAGAAACTACACAATTTTTATGTAATTTAGGAAGTTCTCTAAGGCTTGGAGATCACTATAAATAGAAGTCTCTCCCACACATTCGCAGGCATCCAAACATTCATCCAAGAATCCTAAACATTTAAGTGTCCTATAGTATTTTGTAGTTACAAGTCGAAACATTGTGAGGGTTAGACTGATTTAATGTTAAGGAATAATCCTAAAATCGCATGATTGACTTGAGATAAGTTGGTCTGTGCAATACCCCTAAGAAATCTCCTTCTCACCCCCATCTTCACACATCACTGTACCCCTCTCCTTCAGCTCTTCTTCCTCCTCCCCCGACATCTCCTCCAAAGACTTCCCCTTTGATTCGGGCAGCAACAGAGTAAATCCTAAACCCAACAAATTACAGGCCGCAAGCACAAACAACGAATTCCTCACCCCAATCCCCGTCGGATATCCCCTCTCCCTCTTCCCCTTCTCCCGTTCCTGCGCCGCATACAGAAACCCAAAAGATCCCACTATCGCTCCCCCCTTCCCCGCCGCCGCCGATATCCCGTGACAAGTCGACCTCAACCTCGCCGGAAATATCTCCGCCGGAACAATAAACGTCGTGCAATTCGGCCCAAAATTAGCGAAGAAGAAGGTCAATCCATACATCACCACAAATCCGATTTGATTTCCCGGCGAACTCCAGTGGCTGTAAGGAATCGCAAGCCCGAGCATGAACACGGTCATGAAGAAGAACCCCATCGTCTGAATCCAAAACCTCCCGATCACATCGATGAAAGCGACGGCAAACCAGTATCCTGGCACCGTGCCGCAGAGCGCTATGATGGTCTCTGCTCTGGCGATCTTGAAAAGCTCCTCCAACGCGTTCATGGAGACGGCGCTCGGAATCCATCCCACCGCGCTAAAAATGTCTTTTTGAAAGAGGTTTTGGCTGTAGAAGGCGATGTCGAGGAGGAACCAGATGGTGGTGGTGCCGAGCAAGTGGAGGCCGTGCCGGCGAGCGAATTTTTTGCTGAATAGACCGAATTGCTTCTCTGGTTTGATCATCACTGGGCTGTTGTTTTCGAGATCGAGTTGGAGAACTTTGGCCATATCAATGGCGGCGAGCTCGGCGTTGTTGGCTACGAGGGCGGTGTAGCGAGCGGTTTCCGGCATTCTCATTCGGGAGTATAAAGTCAGCGCAGCCGGTATTGCGCCGATCATCAGGATTAACCGCCAGACGTAATCGGCCTGCGGGACGGTGGAGGCGAGCGGGTCGATGCTGTACGCCGGCGCCGGGAACCTGTTGATTGGAAGATAAAAATTGCATTTTTATTGTTTAGAATGTTTGTGAAATTAGCGATAAAGTTATTCGGACAAAGATGGGGTTTTTATTTAATTTGAGCAATAAATTTTAAAAGCTCCTATATTTAATAAATCCAACTAGTGGACTGACAACTAGCTTGAACTTTTCTTATTAGCTCATCAAACTCAATTCACGAGCAATTTATCAAGGCGAGCTTATGCCAACTTCAAAATCACCTAAACTCACTCACACACCCCTAAATCAAGAAAAAGAATATTAAATCTCATCATGACTCCAATAAAATTGCATCACGTCACATGAAAGAGCGATAAAATAAAACAAAAATATATACTTTAATGTATGAACCCCCTCCTCCAAATATTGGCGAAATTCCATTAAATTTCTAATGATTTTTTAGTAAACCACATTTCAAATTATAAGAATACCTCTCTTTGAAGACACCGGAGACAAACAGGGTAACAACACCGCCGGCAAGAATACCGAACCCCTGCATCGCAAAAACAGCCGCAATGAACGATCCCCGCGTCTTCTTATTAGCATATTCCGACATAATGGTGGCGGAGAGAGGATAATCGCCGCCGATACCGAAACCGAGCCAAAACCGAAAAAAACAGAGCGTCCCCATAACTCCGGCGGGCTTCCGGCCGAACGAGAGGCCGGAGCAGAGCGCACAAACGATCATCAGAAAAAGAGTTACGCAGTAAAGCTTTTTCCGGCCAAGTTTGTCGCCGAGCCAGCCGAAGAAGAGATGGCCGACGAGAGTGCCGCAGAAGGCGACGCCGTTGACGGCGG